CCAGAATGACTGTTAGCTCTCTGTTTGTTAGATGCTGGGCTGATCTGATCTGAGTGCCATGAGCTATTGTACTCGCTCTCCCAACGGGGAGCTTACCTAACAATGAGTCACATGCCAGCTAACACCAACAAGTCTAGCTTGTGCAGTGAGTACCGAACAATGATTAGTATCAGGACAAAAGTTTTGCCTCAAAATGTTTTGCGTACCAAATTCGATGAGTTTCAAAGCAGTTGAATACTAAGGTATCACTGTATCTTAGAAGTTATTAGTTCAAGCATGTTTTTTCGATCATTGGCATCTGTTGCTCATTTTTCCCCCATTCACCTTCTGTGTATATATTGTATATATGCATGCAAACAATAGTAATAGTAATAGACAAACCAAAGCAAATCAAAGCTCTGGACTTAATTCAGATTGTTGCTATTGGAATTTCCTGGGTTTTATTCCCTATCCACACCTGCCATAAGATCAAAGGAATCCCCGAATCAGTTTGAAATGGGAGAAGTACAGTAAGGACTTAGAAACTGAAGAAATCCAATGGCACTGTCTTTTGTATGCAAATGAACTCGTGAGGTTAGGCAAAGTGGAAGGAAAATCTAAAAAAGGCTTCAAGACTGAAAATCTGTAATAAGTTAAGTTCCAAATCCTTTAACGCAACTTTCATTTTTGGTTTCCCAAGGGATGGTGTTTTACTCCATTTCAGATGTTACGGATAAGCTTCTTGCCCCTTCAGAAAGCCTTGAACCTGTACTCCAAGAGAACTTCTGGACTAGTAGCATCCAGATGGAATGTACTGACCCTTTGAATAATGTTCTGGAAGATCTTTGTCCCTCTGCTATGGCCATATTCGATTTGGCAACTACTCAGTGCAATTTATGGAAAACTTGCAAGCAGCTCTTAGAAACAGCAGAGAGAAAATTGCAGAATAGCCTTGAAATCAAAGGTAAATTTCCCTATTCTGTTTGGTATTTTAAAATTTCAAAAAAGTTAAATAAGGAAAACAGTGGTAAAGTGCGTATATACTTCTAATATATTGTCTTCATGGTTGTCGTCTTATATCTAATAACAGGCAGAAGACTTGATTCCGTTCACCAGAACCCTTATGGCTTGAAAGGTTTCCCAGCAGTTCTCCAGCAAATAAGTAAAATTATCAACATACCACAAGGACAGCCCAAATCAAGTAATTTTTTTGCTTAGTGTCATTACTTCATTCACACTTACACTATTCTCCATTCTTACAGCTGTGTTCTGGCACCGCTTCATTGGGGCCACTTTAAGTGGCCATATTTTCATGAATAATAATTATTTTTTGCTTCTGTTTTTCATTACTCTTCCTGAGGATCTGTTTTGATTGTATTCATTGCGTAATTCCTTTAACTTTAGTTTCATTTCATTTCTTCAGATTTTTAACACTTTTACTTTTTAAGGTGTTTTTCTTTTTCCTTGCTCTTACAGTATGTAAGATTTGAGTTATCATTATTGCTAGATATTTTGAAATGCTAGCAAAAGTGAGACGTAAACACAGGTATCCATAGCTTGCCATGGCAATGGAAAAAGGATGTGTTCTATAATGTGGCAACACTTCCCCTGCCTTTTCACTCTTGTGTTCTGATACCATATGCAAGCACTTAATTTTGGACATTGTGTTGCATCATTGTTTTCCCTGCTGCCCCAAGCTCCTATAAAATTCTGTCTGCCATCAAAAAAAGGCAAAAAAATTAAAAGGCATTCAGCCAAACTGGATTTTAGAATCTTGGTAGAGTGTGTGTGTGTGTGTGTGTGTGTGTGTGTGTG